ACACAGAGATAATGTGCCGTGTCACAAAGCTTAAATAATCTCAAAGTGGTGTAGCTGACAAATCTGCAGCAACTTGTCTGATGCTATCAGATAAACATGGACCAAAACCAGGACCTGGTCATTCTAATTAAAATAATTCTGAATTCAGCGAGTGTATCTATATCTGATTTTAACTGATGAATAAAAAATACTATTAAATTATTAATTACTATTAAATTGAAGCATTCTGACTTCTACATCGATTACATGGTTCTGCAGAGATCTTCACTGTGCACATGTCACACATAGAACATCATTTTGAGACATGTTGAGAAGTCAGTTTTGGTCCCAAACACAAAACCTTCAGTGCACAAGTGCAGAGACGGGAGTTCATTTGCATTACTACAAGTTCTGGATGTTTTAGTGAGTGACAAGTAATTCCAGTTCATTCAAATGTTGTTGAAAATGAGTCTTAAATGGGTATTTAACTTGCTATTTTGCACTTTCCCAAAAGTTCCCAAATTATGCAATTGTTACATTTTTCATTAATTATAAAGATAGCAATTAAGTCAAAGCTGAAAGTAGGGAGAGCAGTTGTTTCATTTAAATTCAATTTGTTATATTAAGCAAGTTTAATACAAGACTTTTCTAGTCCAGCCATCACAGCATACTTTTTATAAAAATATGGGGGGGAAACAAACCCCCATATTTAACATAAAAAACACAATTTCAAACAAAAGTAGTAGACGTAAATCACTATCTTCCTAACTACAGACAATGCCGTTTTCCACGTGTACACACATTTGAAGTGAGCTGTCAAGAGGGGAAAAGGGGCCTTTGTCTCAGCCCATCTTCTCTGCCATGAAAGAAGTCAAACATTTTGAGGATCCAACTTTTGTCAGCAATTTCTACCAGCCTGCGCATGAACTGACGCCTTGTGAAAATCCATCACAGTCTTTGTGAAAACAACAAACATTTGCTTTTCTATAACCCACACGGGCTTCTGCAACAAAGTGTATGCAGTCTGAAACATATTCCAACAGCAATGCAAAAAAAAAAAAAAACCCTCAATAAATATATTTAATAACAATAGAACTAAATCACCTTATCAGTATGATGAGTACTCACCATAATATTCTAATGATTGCTCAGCTTTATCAAATTTAATTAGATTATAAAGGCTTAGCCTCCAAATAGCTCTGGGTAAGTAAATCACGTGCTGCTCAAGAGCTGAGCTTAAGCCAAGACAACTCTGTACTGTAGCCACAGAGACAAAATGCATTCAAACAAATTAATAGTCCATTAAATAAAAGCAAACCTCTGCCAGCTAATAGTACCTTAAAAGCATATTAGCATTAGAACAGGATAGACACCCATTTATCTCGTAGGAAAGTGTTTCAGCAGCGAGAAAGTCGGAGTTAAGTGAGCATGAAGCCTCGTGCTTCTTCCTTTGCATACATGTGACTTCTGGTGGTGGAGGTCTTTATCCCCCACGGTGCTGTGAGTGATGGTCGACCTAGCCCGCACATGATCAATCCCCCCTTTTTTTTTCTTTACTTTTATTTTTTTTTACATTGTCACTGAAACTCATCCTTCTCATTTAAAAGGTACTGTATCTCCCGTGTCTCGATTAATCTCACTCTCTCTCTGTGTTTGCCCTTCCGCTTTTCCTCTCCCTGCATCCCCGCATCCATCTTGTTCCGGCCCTCCCCCTTCCCTCAGGCCCAGCCACCACTCTGGTATTCCCAAAGTCATCTGCAATCAGACATCTTCAATGGATTAATTACACTGTCCTCACACAACTTGATTGAGCATCTAACATCTACACCCACCCTCTCAGACCCCAATGCTCCCTTCTCACCCCCACCCACTTACAGACGTTGAATCTTTTCTTCTCACCATCTTTTAAGGGCTCTTTCATGCTGCCCCCATTCCCTCCTTTTTCCACCTTCTCCTCTGAACCTCTGCCTTCACCCTAACCCTGTCTTTTCTAAAACTGCTTGAGCGGTCATCCCTCGTCTTCTCTGAGAGCCTGGCTAATTGGACATTGATTGGAAGAGCCCCTCTCCATGATCTCTCCAGAATATTGGGATCGCACTAATTGAAGAATTAACTTGGGTGAGACTTGGACCTGGAAAAAGAAGCAGGAGAAAGGAAAAGACAGACATGATGCTTCAGCTTTAAGAAATAAAACATCTTTCTTTGTATATTCTGTTTTTCTTTTTTTTTCTTTCCCCCTTTCTCACAATCCCTTCTCCACTCTATTTTTCTTTCTCTCCCTCTCTTTCTTTCATTCTTTCTTTCTCCCTGTCCTATCCCCCAGTCATGTCTGTCCCGTCTGTAACAACCGAAAATAAAATTAAAATAAATACATAATTAAAATAAATGTCAATTCAATGGACCAATATGGCAAGTCCATGATGATCCACTTGGTAAAGTAAATCTGCCAGGCATCTTTCTTGTCC